TTCAGGATCCTATTCAGGATCCTACAGGATCCTATTCTGGATCCTACAGGATCCTATTCAGAATCCTATTCCGGATCCTAATCAGGATCCTATTCAGGATCCTACAGGATCCTACAAAGTTCCTAGCAGGATCTTGTCAGGATCCTGCAAGTTCCTATCAAGATCCTATCAGGATCCTACAATGTTCCTAGCAGGATCTTGTCAGGATCCTGGAAAGTTCCTAGCAGGATCCTGTAGGATCTTATCAGGATCTTACAAACTTCCTAGCAGGATCCTATAGGATTTTGCCAGGATCCTACTGAATTCCTGGCAGAATCCTATAGGATTTTGTCAGAATATAATATTATACAGAATCTAATGCCAGGAGTTACACTGCAAAGCACAAAATTACTTGCTTTCAAGAAAATTTTACTTGTGCCGTGGGTAAGTAAAATATTCTAGGTAAGAATCAGATTTCAAGAAAATTATTCTTAAAATAAGAAAATTATTCTTCGTTAGAACAAAATTCTTGGTAAGAAAATTTTTCTAATTTTGTCCCGTACTAAAACAATTAAGAATGTTTAAAATAATATATTTAACAGCTATACATGAATAGGTTATTAACCGAGGTTATTAATTAACCCATTAAGCTGGAGAGCTTCCCCATTGACGAGTAAAATCGTCCGGCATTAGACAAGTAAAAAATAAGTAGGGCGCATTGCAGCTCAATGGATTAAAGTAATTACCGATAGATAAAAGTAAAAGTTCTCACTCGTAGCAATATTGTTCAATTTCTTGAAAAGCCTTTACCATGTCAGACTGCCAAGTCTGGATGGGTAGTCCAAGTCGAGCATGTAGAACGACACCAGAAAGCAAATCACGGCTTTGACAGTTTCGCCATTCTCGAATGTTGCCAATACTGTGGCTCCTTGTCATGATCAGCCCTGGTTCAGTATGTCATGGATCAGCAGGCTTCTTTTGTAGCCAGGTAGTCATCAAGGCCATGTCTCCTTCCTTTTTTGGAAAAAACCCCACAAAATTAGTTTTGGTAACAACTACACAACCCATTAATTAACAGCTTATTTTTTCACTAACAAGCTATCCTCTGGGATTAGACACTATAGCGAAATACTACGGTGGATGGAATAAGAGAAAGTTAAGAGAGTCAGTTTTGTTAGCCCATATTAACTTATCTCAACTATAGGAAGGCTTAAAACTAAGAACATGTATACATACACTAAATTTGATTCAGGCCTTACTAAATGAATTTTATAAAATGAGACTATATTAACCTCACCTCAACAAAGTTTATGATGTCCACTTTGCTCTTAGCTGAGCCTGAGGTTTACTTTTTTATTTGAAGAGTGAATTAATGTTCTTCGTTAAGTGGAGTACTTTTGTGTCTAGAATTACATGCATAAGAATTACCAGATGACTGTTCAAGTAAATAAGTAGGTCCAATTGAATGAATTGATCAATCAGCTTCTTTTCACAATTCCTCATGTATGCGCTTTCTTCTGCTTTAATTCTATATATTGGGTTAACAATTTTATGATTCAGATAGATAACATTGTGATTTCCTCAAGTTTAATACTCTCAAATATAAATTTTCATAATAATAAATAAGTCGCGGCTTAAACAAATCGCGAATGACTCGTGTAAACAGTCAATTTGTTCGCAAGCGCGGCTAAAATAAGCCCAGGCTTGAAAGCTAGGCCTAAATTAGCCGCGGCTTATTGCAACTGTTTATATGAGTCGATCGTTCACGACTTATTTAAGCCGCGGCTTATTTTATAGGCCGCGTCTTTAAATATTTTTGCTCGTATAAATGGCCCTATTGTTTAATATTCCATGTGCCCATGTGGGTTCAAACATGCTTTATCGAGTTTTGTCAAACAAGTGCAACCCAGTAATTACTATAATGTGTTTATTCAAAATTTGAATTGTTGATTTTGACTAATATTTGACGGCATTGAAATGAAATAATTCAATATAAATCTCGCGCGCGCAAAATTCAAATTTTAGCAGCCACAAGATAAAATGGGTAAATAGTGTCGATGAACGTTATAATTATATGTTATAAACAGTAAGATTTCATACCTGAGATCAATAAGGCTTTGGCAGGATTCGGAGTCACTTATCCAATACGAAATATAGCTATTCCTCGGCTTTTCTTCATCGAAATATACTCAAACGAAAAAAATCACACTTCACTTGACATTTGATACACGATATCACATAACTCATTGCGCGCGTGGTCCCTTGTCTTCTAAAGTAGATACACCAAAAAGCGCTCCCAATCTATCGCTAGCTACCCTGGATTCCAGAGCCTTCAGTAAATAATAAATTGAAACGTTGCGAAGGCTATGTTCAACGGTAGGGTACTTTGATTAAAACGCGCCAATCACAAAACAGAATTAGTGGTTTTAGTACAGATTCTGTACTAAAACCACTAATTCTGTTTTGTGATTGACGCGGTTTAATCAAAGAACCCATTGAACCAGAGCCTTCACGACGTTTCAATTTATTATTTACTGAAGGCTCTGGAATCCAGGGTAATCGCTAGCTTGAAACTGTGTGAAGCATTAATCTGGGCAAAAAATGATCATTAAAAATGATCATAAAAAAATGGTGAAAATTTTTATAAGCGAATAATGAGATAGATTTTCTAAAAAAAATATATATTTCAATTAAATATCATATCTCATCTTAGCCAAGCTAAAATTGCCTAAGGGATTAATGGTCATTTCATAGATTTTCTTTTTAGGATCCTACTTCTTAATTTTTCTGGTAATATCCTGGTTAGGATTATGCATGCTATTAAATGCCAGGATCCTACGGAAGATTTTTCTTATAGGATCCTTAATAGTCAGGATCCTACTCAGGATCCTGTCACTTTTCCTATAGTATCCTGGTTAGGATCCTGTTATTAAATGCCAGGATCCTAGATTTTCTTTATAGGATCCTACTCGGGATCCTGTCAATTTTCCTGGTAGTATCCTGGTTAGGATCCTGTTATTAAATGCCAGGATCCTAGATTTTCTTTATAGGATCCGACTCAGGATCCTGTCACTTTTCCTATAGTATCCTGGTTAGGATCCTGTTATTAAATGGCAGGATCCTAGATTTTCTTTATAGGATCCTACTCAGGATCCTGTCACTTTTCCTATAGTATCCTGGTTAGGATCCTGTTATTAAATGCCAGGATCCTAGATTTTCTTTATAGGATCCTACTCAGGATCCTGTCACTTTTCCTATAGTATCCTGGTTAGGATCCTGTTATTAAATGTCAGGATCCTAGATTTTCTTTATAGGATCCTACTCAGGATCCTGTCACTTTTCCTATAGTATCCTGGTTAGGATCCTGTTATTAAATGCCAGGATCCTAGATTTTCTTTATAGGATCCTACTCGGGATCCTGTCAATTTTCCTGGTAGTATCCTGGTTAGGATCCTGTTATTAAATGCCAGGATCCTAGATTTTCTTTATAGGATCCTACTCAGGATCCTGTCAATTTTCTTGCTAGTATCCTGGTTAGGATCCTGTTATTAAATACCAAGATCCTAGATTTTCTTTATAGGATCCTACTCAGGATCCTGTCAATTTCCCTGGTAGTATTCTGGTTAGGATCCTGTTATTAAATGCCAGGATCCTAGATTTTCTTTATAGGATCCTACTCAGGATCCTATCAATTTTCCTGGTTAGGATCCTGTTACTAAATGCCAGGATCCTAATAGGATCCTAGGATTCTAACAAGATCCTAGTTAGGATCCTGTTGATTATAGGATCTTGACAGGATCCTAATTCAATTCGTATTACTTTTAGGATCCTATCAGGATCCTATTCAGGATCCTGTTAATTTCAGGATCCTAACAAGATCCTACAGGATCCTGCAGATCCTACAGGATCCTATAGGATCCTGCATAGGATTTCTACCAGGGTATGGCCGTCGTCTACTGACATCTCTGCAGCATACACGGAGGCCGGCTATGTCCTATTTAATATATCAATGAATATCATTACAAAGATATACATGCATACATAATCTCCATGAATGTATGTCAAAGCAGTCAGTGTAGAAACATGCGAGGCGAGTAATGTGCATACAGTCATACCAAAGCGAAAAAACAAGCGAGGGAAAACCACTAGCTCTGTTGTGGTTAAGGGGAAAGAGGAAAGGTTTGAAATACCATCACTTATCTGATTGCCAATAGTATCCAACGGAAGGTAAGCCGAACACCGCTAAGAACTATCAATAACATTAATAAAATTTAAAACAAGTCAGTTGAGTAAGAATACTTACAGTTTCGAAATTTCCAAATGCAGTAATATTTTGGTTAGAGCACTGTCCAAGCTAATTATGGAACGCTTTGTACATATCAAGTCAGCAGGAATATATGTTCAAAGGTTGGTGCTGGACCGCTGGTATTGGCGCAATAAGTCGACTTAAGTCTCTTGTTCCATTACAAATACTAAAAACGGCATAAAATGCTATCCGTTCTAAAGCTAGCGTGTGAACACGTGGAATCTAAGTATGACGTCACTGCTCAACGTGCTTCAGAAGATTTCCACATTTTCAAGGTGGCGACGCATTTTACGATTGTTAATTAATCTCAAACCAACCTCGTGCCAGCCAACAGTTTGCTTGACCGCGGTGGGAATCGAACCACGACCTTTGGTTTGTTTTTGAAAATACAAATGGTCTTTGGTTCGTATTTAAAACGAAATTATAACGTTGGAAATAAAACGAAAACATTTAAAACACATTTTGAGATAAGTAAAATTTATTTTAGTTTTATGTTTGCACTATAATTTTTAAAATATCGCTTTTATACTGGTCTTTCGCGTGCTTATTTACATGACGTCTTTGTGTGTATTTTTGTCACTCTGAGTAAAGTCCATATAATAAACAGAGCATTAAACGGTTGCGAGAAGATATGGATTTATGTTCTCGTGTCAAAAACAATATCTCACTCGTTCGCTGCGCTCACTCGTGAGATATTGTTTTTGCCACTCGAACATAAAATCCATATCTCTTCGCAACCGTCTAATATCCTATATATAATACATGTGACTCATGTTACGTGACTCATGTTACGTACAAAAGTACATCTTCATATTTCAGTTCAGAATTGTTTCCAATAGCTTCTGAAAATTCTTGACAACTTTTTTTTTCCAAAAAATGTCATCACTACTATGGAATTACCCGTTACTTTATTTTATATCTGATATGTACTACAGTCAGTATCTTCGTATAGTGAGCATGTCTGATTGACTGATAATTTATTCTCAATTCTTTCCAAGGTTTTGGCTTATCGCCAGGTAGCTTGTGGTTTAGACGCGACTATAGGACATACAAACAGACAGGTAAAGAGTTTAAATAACTATTCTTTTCAGGTAATAGAGACTGTGGATGGCAAAATCTGAAATCTGTATTTGTCCGGGAGAAACATTCTGTAGAATGTCGTTACCTATAGCTCAGGGTGTTAGCCAGGGGCAGGTTGTATAAAACTCTTAATCACTTTTTAATCACTATTTTGTTAAATAGTGATTAACTCTCAAATACGCGCTTCTTATTGGACGATGTTTCCACTAACTATAATTAACTTTAATCACTTTTTTATACAACCGGCCCCAGATGATTAAAAAGTTCGGCAATTTAATGAAATTGGGAATTTCAGTTAGCCTGCGACGTTCAGACCGGAGTTATGGAATATCGTGTTTCTTAAGTGACGTTCTCGTAGCCTAGCGCCAGTTGAGCTAGATTGAAACTTTTGAAGTGCAAGTCACCTGACATTGTTTTGCGTGCTAAAAACAAACAAATATGTATTTTAGGCTACATGACATCCTCACAACACTTTCTGGTAACCAATTTTTCTTGAAGCATAGTTTTGAAGTTGAACAATATTTTATATAATAATCTAAATTGTGAAACTGCTGGCTAAACATAATTGTGAAAACGGCGTATAACACCGAATTTTTTACTGTAGCTACCGACAGAAATTAATCCGGAATAGAGTAGAATTTTCTTTTCTGGTAAAATATTGGTAATTTGACATAATTGGATACCGTTTTCCAGTAGACTGCATGTTTAAACATATGCATGTCACAACAACTTATTCTTCGAAATTATGAGAGTTTGTGATGTGTCGAAAAGTCGTGATCGCTTAATTTAAGCACATGTAGTTCTATATCATTAACAGTATGTCGTCTTCCCCACAATATTTTAGGCTTCCCTATAAATTTCCTTAGAATCGAAAAATGCATAGATATAAAGTCCATATATACAAAATCCAGGTTTAAGTCATGCAAGTTTTGACTTTTAAGATTTTGACCAAGTTATAATGCAAGGAATTCCGCTATACAGGTCACGGTTAAACTTGAGCTTTATCATATTCTTTTCTTAAAATTTCTGAAATTTTCCTCAGTGGGCAAGTCATCCTTCATACAACCCATCTCTGTTTCGGACCTCCGGTGTCCCAGTTTCTCATACTTTACATATAGGCAACAATTGTCCACAAAAATGTGATAATTTTGTCGAGTTTACAGGTTGTTCGGGCAAGAACTGATACTCCAGGACACCACACAACATTTCGTGATATAAACGTCTCTTCCGATCTCGTGGACCAGTCAAGAAAAGCAGAAAGAGTAACTGAGGTAAAAATAAAGGATAATTCAAGTTAAAATCAATATAATTCATATTTAAAAGCCCGTGCAAACCATGCAGACATAATCCAACAATAATGGACCATGCATGATAAAGAGGTTATAATAAGTTTGTATGTATTTACTGCTTGGGAGGAGATTTAGTTTCCCTTGTCTGTGTTAGAGAATAACAGTATTATAAAAAATATATCAGAATTTTTTTGCAACATAGGAAAGTGTTGCAGTAATAGAGTGATTCGTACGAGAGGTATCACAACGAAAGCTTCTATTCGAATGTATATATAGAAGTATATTGCGCGTTCATATTGGGCAAAGGTGACAAATCATGATTTCCTACGCTGATTCAATGTTGTTATTTTTCAAGTTACACGGTTGCACTTGGCCCTTATAGAGTCTTTACATTATTGTTTTGAACAAAATTCAATTTATGTTATATTCGTAGCAATATTTAAATGCTGATAAGGTTTGATATGACGTAAACACCACGTAGGATACGTAAAAGATTCGTGTTAAAACCCAGCTGCATTTTGCCGCTTTCAATAACATTTTGAGGAGAGGCGTGGTTATTTAAACCAACTATAAAGTATACGAAGTGATTATAGGCCTGCAATCACCGAGCCTGAGGCGAGTTCTAAAGGCTACAGTTCAAAATTCAGCATTTTTCTCAGTACCCAGTTAATTTTTTCGACATCAGTAATGCGAAAAAAATATGCAGTATTCACATTCAAAACAAAACAATCATACTCGAAGTAAACTCCAGTCAGAAATGCAAAATAATTAAAAAAAAACACATAAATATATAGAAGATAGAAACATAGAGGTGCATTGTAGTTGTCAATTATTAGATAAAATATTAATATATTTGCAATTAACTTATATGCATATCCCAAGTTTCATTTAAAAATACAGTACTTGAGACAGAGTAATTGAGTGCATACTCCGCGTTTATCGTAAATGCCTGATGTTAGTTTAAACGTGCTACCCTTAGCGCCAGTGTAGATTTTTGACTTTATGGCTTATTTGTATTGTATACACAACTGTTTTTATCAAAGTAATTTACTCTGCGCTTTTAACTTCATTATAGACTTATCATCGTTGTTCAAAACCTGCTGAAGGTCATGAAATATATAATGGTAAGTCAACATACAAGTAGTGAATGTTTATGAGTGCATTGGTAATATTTTCATGAGGTGAAAGATGGATTTTTTCCCCCGTTGAATGGAACATTCCATTATTCATCAATGAAAATGTTCTTACCGTTGAACGAATGAAAACATTGTATATTTGTTTTATATTGGTGGCATTTGTTTTATATTGGTGGCTATTTAATGAACTGCACTTTCGGAGCAGGTTTTAAAACGATGTCATTGTGGTGCCCTGTATAAAATACGAATATTTGCTGTTGTATTTCCATTCGATGTATTGTCATTCGACTGTACAAGTGTAATCTTGTTGGTTTTTGCTTGTTTTTATTTGTTCTCTGTAATTTCCACAACACCGATGTGAAACATTTCTCGTTATGTAGACACCATCAGTCGTCGACAATTTGGGAAATCTTCATTATCATCCCTTGACTCTGCGTGGAACACGACTCGACAATACTGCTGGTCCGATCAACCCAAAGAATGCCACAGAAGATCAAAGTTGAGCCAGAATAACATTTTAGTTACCAAGGAGGTATAATACTTCATATATGCAATGCTTTACAGATCAGCCATCTCCTGATTATCGCGATTTTAAGTTAGTAAGTGGAGGTGTGCTAATCATGATGAGACGTGATGAGCTGAATTATGAAGGTCGCAGCTCAACTTGATCGAGTCGAAGGCTAACTAAATGTAAGGCGGGCTTTGTCTCCCACCATATGAATCGTGTTTTATCACGGAGCACAACTACGATGGAAATGTGTGTTTTGGGATTTATCCCACCCCACCCTGTCAACCCTCCCGGCTCCCAAAACTTTCAGTATGGGGTTGACTACAGCCCAGTTTCTTTTCAAGCCTTATTCTTCATCACTTGCTCTCGTTGATTACTTAAAGCCCAAGAAATTTTGAACTCAAGAGATACCTCAAGTATTTATCATGGTTAAACTGACTTTATAATGAGCAATTATTCAGTTGGGTAATATTAGTGTCATAAGTGTTCATGTTTGTTCAATACAAATTGTTTATCAATTTCTGTTTGTCCCTAATTTTCATCATGCGTATTTCGTTAAGTATTATATCAAATTTTTGTTTCTAAAAGTTATGATTAAACATTAGGTGCATGTATCAAAATTATTAGAGAGGTGTCTGTTTTAGTGCAAAATGATCACGTATGATGTTCTCATGCAGCGGGCAGATTGCGTTTGAACCTATTTGAAAGTTATGCTATCATAAACCTAGCTTAAAAATAGCACGTTACACAATACTGTGATAGAGCCAAACGTTTTAGTAACAAAAACCTATAAATAAAACCACATCACTCTGTATCTGTACGGTGAAATATGGTCAAAAATAGTAATACTAATACATGCCATTTTCACAATTAAGGCCTTACAAGAAACGGACACGAAAATTATTAACTTGCTTTGGGATATAGAAATGAAGGTATGCTAAATAATGTAGATTGTCCATTTCCCCTGCGCGATTGCTCTAACTTGAAATCATTAGTAACGGCGTAGCTATAATGAATTCAAGTTGAAGTACGAATTCAGTGGAATTCACTTTGAGCACCAGCATTGTATCAGTAGTCTATGAAATTTATAGAGCACGACTGGCTGAGTGGGTGTAACCATTCTCTGTCATCAGCTTAGGTGGCTCCCTGCAGTTATTTTATAAGAAGACTAGTGTCGCGTTCCACCGCGATATTTTATAAATCAATCAAAACAAATTCAAAGTCTTAGAAGACAGTCGTCTCAAACACACATAATTCTTCAAAATATTAAAAAAAACACACCCTCGTTTACTAAACTCGGCTTTATATACAGCCTGATTTACATTACGCCTACACAGTACAGAACATATTCACAACCACAATACAATTATTACACAATACAAATTACAAATAACAGCCAGCCAGCCAACCATGCTGCCATATTCACGACACTAGTAACTAAATCACGACGTCAACAACGTGCAAGATCATACATCTACACAAAACCACGTACAAGTGAAATTCAATTATAATCACACCTGCGTCTCGCATGATAAACTTCACTGATTTGTAAATATTCATCATGTCGAATCATTGATATATTTTGTCAAGTAAGCAGCGACTGAAAATTTAGTTGTTTTCGAATCAGTGACTTTTCTTAAAAACCTGTTATAAGTTCATGGAATGTTACTTGTTATAAGTTCATGGAAGTCAGTCAAATAGTGTACCTGTCAGTCAAATATGTAAGAATTACTCCACGTCTGAGACCACCACGCCAAAGATTACCTCATCAACTAACCATTAATAACGAAAGTGAGAGTAAAGCAAGAGTACCAAGAGTTCATTGACCTAATTATAGCAATTTAGTTTAAATCCCCACTATGAAAACCCAACAGCCAAAGTCACCGCACTTTAAATTAGTCCACTTGAACATCAGATCGCTACGCAACACTGCTCATTTGACACAGCTCAAGGAATTCCTTTCAAAGACAAAAACTGAAGCCCTTACACTGTCAGAAACGTGGTTGAACACTACGATAACGAATGCTCAGATCTACCGGGTGTGGTAAAAAAGTACGACTGTTTGAATTGCTGAAAAATCAAAACTGAAAGAGCAATGACACTAAAACAAGTTTATTGGCATTCAGCGACATCCAACTTAAATTTTGATATGTGCCATGCACATTTCGATGCCATATTGACAAAGATACATGCATTTAAATAGGTGTAAACATTTTTGAAATTGACGAAATTAGCTAAAAATGGCTTATTAAATATTAATACATACAACATGCAATAACTTGTTGGTTGGCACTGACTGGTTTACTAGAGAGTCAGAGCTAGAGAGTACTTCCGATACCAATACCAATACCGATACTAACAACATGTCATGCGCATGCTCTCTGCTCGCAAGAAGCACGAGGACAAGTGTATTGGAAGTCACCACTACCGAAGTCGGCCTTGTATTGGAAGTCGGGGGAATTGTATAAGATAAACTCATATAAATCGGATATTTCATAATTTTTACGATAAATATGTAAACTATTTGTTTATTAGCATCGCCTGAGTCATGTTTTAGTCGGAATTTTAGCTCAGCTGCCGTTTAGTATACCGCACATTTTCGGTGACGATTAATATGTTCTATACTTTATCTGTCGTGATAACTTAACGCTTTAAAATTCCCGGTACCAAAATGAGAACGGAAGTGAAAACATTGGTATCGGTATTGGTATTGGAAGTCGAACTTAAACTCTCTAATGAGTCGAACAGGGATTTCTTTTAATATTTAATGAGATAATATATTCTGTACAAAATGAAAGTTACCTAATATAAGTAAAACACATGCATTCCAATCATATTTTCGCGACATAACATGGTAAAATTGACTAATAACAAAATACTACAAATATAACATATAAAACAATTAAACATCTGTACCTGAATGGTAGATCCCTGCAGGACTTGACTCTGACTACAACTTTACGTTAATCTCTCTAACTATCCGTCCTTTAAACCGTCTCTTACTCTCGCGTGTCTCTCTTGCAAAATACTGATACAACTAACGCCTATAATGTCACTCAAAATGTCATCACTTAAATGTTTATATAAACCATAACAGAACTTAATATTAACTATATCAAATGTCAAATGTTGCTCGCTATTTACACCACTTGTGTTGAGACGTATTACACTTTATTGTAGTACGTTCGCGCTTGTGGTTAAAAAACAATCGTCTATATTCATCAGTAAATGCATGTCCCCCAGCACGAATGCAACGTCTTGCCCGTGAAATCATACAATCGAAAGAATTTTGGATCATTCACTGTTTCAAGTTGCGGCATGCTGTAACAATCGCTTCACGAAGCTCTCTCAAATTGTGCTTCAGAACCGGAGTTATTTGAATCGCACATATACTTGTCCCAATCAATTGAAGGTACTCTCTCGTGTCGAGATTTCTCTCAACAAAGTTTGGACCCAGAACAACTGACCTCGTCAAACCAACCCACTAATTGAAACAATAATCGCAAGAAAATGGTAAAGGTTATTCAATTGGTTTTAATAGGGCCTTTTCAGCTAATTCTCGGCGGTTCCAAAAATGTTTGTTTAAGTTTAAACACAGTTATCTCAGTCAGTATTGCACGAAAAGCAGTGCCGTAGCCAGCTCGATAATTGGGGGGGGGGGGGGG